GCTCTTGTTGGGAGCCCATCTGTTAATATGCTTGGGCACGTCTGTCGTTCGGGGCCCTGCAAATCGGGTATTAGGTACTTTCTGTTGATTTTTTTTTTTTGGGGGGGGGCCTGCACACTTCGTCGGGGCCCCGTCTGTTAACCTGCTAGGGCTTACTGGATTGTCTGGGGGCCCTGCACATTGGGCATTTTAATGTAGGGCCCTACGCTCTTGTGGGGGCCATTTGATAGCCTGGTCGGGTACACTTGATCTTCCGGGGTCCTCCACACTTGTCGGGGGGTCTACGCCCTTGTCGGGGGCCTATCTTATAACCTGCTCGGGCGCGTTCGATCGTTAGGGGGCTCTCCACGTTGCATCGTGGGCATTTCGTATTTGAATGGAGGGCCCTGCGCTCATGTCGGGGGCCATCTCTTAACCTGCTCGGGCATACTCGACCATTCCGAGGCCCTCATGCCGCGTCTTAAGTACTTCTTATTTGAATGGATTACACCATGTCCTTGGCGGGTCCCATCTATTTAGCCGCTCGGGCCGGTGACGGACACAGAGGGGGGAGGGGGGGGGGGGCACGGGAACATGCCCCATAGACCATGCCGAGGGGAACTTCAGGCTCCGAGGGATCCATAACCGGCCGAACGGACGCAGTTTTCTAACAAAACAAGAAGAGGTATGAAGAGTCTGAGCCTGAGGTAGAGGCGATCCCTAGCTGTATGCACTTGCAACTGCCACTAGCATAAAAACAGCTCATGTACGTCACAAAAATTCTCTTTCCATTAAACTTTCTGCGAATAACTAATTTTCCCATTCAATACTCGTTTTTTTATTTCTCTAACTGGCTACGCTGGCACCCCAGCCACCCGATTGACAACGAACCTACTAATCTTCCGTTGACAGGAGTGTCAGCACGTATTTTATCAGACCAGGACCATGGCTGGCTCGAAAGCTCTTGAGCGAATTAATTAGACGTAGCTTTGTGGCATAAAATTGACGTAGTTATTGGTGTTAGACGTCTATCGTTCGCTATGCTTCATGTCACCTACTTTCATTTTTCTGTAACTTGTAAGTTGCCTTTGTGTGCGTCATACCAGGCGCCGGGCGCGGTAATGTACTGTTTTGTGCGCCGCGGTTGACAGAGGCAGGCACGCTCGGTCACCCGTTTATGGGTGATGGGTAGAAAAAATTATGTATCTTTGATTGAATCCATTCATTCACCCAGCGTCAATATGTCAGTCAGATCCACTAAATGAGCGTCTTTATAAAATACTCTTACCCCACCTTTTCTCCATCGGCGTAAGAAAATGGGAGGTTAGGGCCCTAGCCTGCACCCTTTGAGAATCTTTAACGTTAACCCTCTAGCGATGCATGGAAAGAATACACTTCAAACTTGATACTGGTTCCCAATCTTCCGAGGCGTTCCTACGCCTACGCCTATTCCACACTTCAGCACGCTGTTTGCAGCATTTTTGAAACATGTATTTGTCGAACGAGACCTTGCGCTTCGGCGGTCAGTTCGAGCCATAGTAAAACGAAATCCGTACAACAAATTCTGAGATTTCGGGGCCAAACTGACCTCCGCATAAAATACAAGGCAAATTGAAAGTAACCATGACACGAAACCGCATGAGATCACACGAGCCTGTCAAAGTTGAAAGACAATCGCCAATTCTCGCGCAAAGTAAGACAGATTCGAAGGCAGCGCGATGGTCATTACATTTAACCTAATGGAGAAATCGAAATTAGTGAGAAAAGTTCACAAAAGGGGACCGTCTGAAAATTGAAATGTTGCCTGAAATGACAGACTGACGATACTCATCTCCTTCACCAGATTCAAATACGGAACACGTTTCCCTTAATTGTGAACTGTTCTGACGACTCACCATCTCATGTAGTGTTATACTGTCTTTACCAAAACGATGGGAAGCAATGCATGTGCTCCTAAATACTCGGTGTCATTTACATGCTTTGCGATGGATTGTTGGTAACCCTGTGCTGATTCCAATCGCACGCTAACCGAGTCGATGTTGCCTCGGATTTACTAGCACCAAAGCATTTGAATCTGAACCCGACCTTAAAGTGATTTGGATTAATCGTTTATCGGAGCAAAAATATTTCATTGGCTATCACTGGCCGGGATACACGAAAGCAGTGCATGGATCTGGCTTTGGACCGACGTAATCCGAATCCAGTCAAGTGAATTTGAATTGGCCCGCCAGAAATAATTTTAATCCAAGAGGACTCAAAATGTCTCTTTCGTTCCCGACGATTCAACTAAATTTGATCCAATGTTACAAGAATTCCAATATTTTATGTCTTGGTGCGCCGATGGGAGAGTGCCACCGGATGGCTTAAAGTGAGAACACAATGGCTTCGCGTCAGAAACAGCTCCGATCGGCTGCTGATTACGTGCTATGCACTTCTTATCATTTGTCATCAATTTCAGGTGCGCAATTGCTGTTGTATGTGCACGTGACGCTTGCCCTGAAAACGGTTTTTGCAGAGGACATAAGCGTATATGATGATAATAATAGGATGAGTTGCGATGACGAGAATTCCTTAAAATGAGCTATCTGCATCGGGACGTTTGAAAGATTGACAACAGTTTAACTCAACTTTGATTCAGCCAACTCTAGTGATGAACCCTGGTTCTGAAAAATAAGTGAAGTGATCAGAATCCATCTTGATTTGCATAAACTTTTAGTAAATCTCGATTTAAATTGACTAACAAACATGCAACAATGGCTGTTCAAATTCAAATAACGTGTAGATTGCCACATCCATTCATGTACTTGTATCTAACATGAAGAAGCCTCATCATCGCACTGGGATTAATAAAATACACCTTTGTCATCCTGCCTGGCTAAAATGGTCGGTAACCAGGCTACTCGATGAGCTGAAGGTAAATATTTCGGATGGTGAATTCGGAGCACGCAAGCAGGGGCGGATCCAGGATTTCGCCAAGGGAGCGGGGGGGGGGGGCACGCAACATTGTGGGGCCCGAGAGTTTGGGCCCCTCCAAAAAATGTTTGCATTCCGACCTTCAATTTCAATTTCAAGATTCATGGAAAGCCAACAGAGGCTCCCGTCAACAGGCATATGGTCCTCAGAGCGAGCAAAAAGAGCCAAGACCAACGTGGTTGGGCCTTAAACGATCGCTGGTGCCCCGGCAGGCTGACATATAGGGCCGCGGTCAGAGCGCAGGACCCTCTGGACAGACGGAAATAATCCAATGCCATGCACGTTTACCCCTGTGGGGTCAAGAGCACCCGAACAGATTAACAGAAAGAGCCTCGACAGGTGTCAAGCGTCCTTCGCAAATGAGGTCAAAGGGAACGAGCCCTCCATCAAAGCAGAGGGCCGCTGAGCATCGAATGTTTCGGTGCCTTACCTTACATGAGCCCCACCAACAGCACAAGGCCCTCCGAGCAATTGGAAAGAACCCGAGGCTAATGTGAAGAGCCCCTGCAATGTAGGGCCCTGCGCGTGTGCCCTGAGTGCAACTGAGTGTGCCCTGGCATATGGGGCACCGGAAAAATCATATAGAGCCTTTCGGGCGGATAGGAAGAACCCGAAGAGGAAAACTTGATCAATCAACAGTGACCAGGCATGGAAGCAGATAGCGTCCCAACAACACCGTTGGACCCTACGAGAAAATGTAAAGACATCAAGGGCAACGCGGAAAGCTCCTTAGCGATTAGATTGGTCCGAAAGTGGACATATAGGTCCAGACAACAGCGCTATGCCTCTGGACAGCGTAATGTTCCTAAATTCCCCCCAAGCAACACCTTTTCAATCAGCAAATAATTACCTTTGTCCGCCTGCGAACTCTTTACTTTTGTTAGCAACCGTTCTTGGTCGCCTGTACGCCCAAAGGCGTCCAATCTTGTTGTGCCGTGTTTTGTTAGAAAGCTGCATCCGTTCCGCCGGCTATTGGCCACTTCGGAGCCTGCAGGTCAACTCCCAAACCCAATGTAGAGGGCCCCCGAATGAGCGAGTGTGCCAGAACAGGTTAACAGGTGGGCTCCCACAAAAGCGCAGGGCCGGCCGTTCAAATTGGAGGCAACCAAAACCCAATGTAAATGGCGCCCGAACAACAGAATGTGCTCAAGCAGCTTATAAGAAGGGACCCGACATAAGCGTCTTGCCTTCCATCCAAATAAGAAAGCCCCAAAACTCAGTCGAAGGGCCCCGAATGATGGAATATACCCGATCAGGTTACCAGATGGCCCCGAGAGCAGCGTGGAGCTCTAAATTCAAACAATGTGCCCAAAGTGCAAGTCAAAGACCGATGTGCAGAACCACGAACAATCCAGAGTGATCGAGGAGGCGAACAGAGGGGGGGGGGGGGGACCTCGACAAGCGCGTAGGCCCCCCTCCCCCCCATTCAAATCGGACGTACCCAAGGCCCAGCGCAAACGGCCCACCAACGATCGAACGTGCCCGAGCAGGTTATAAGATAGACCCCCGATGAGAGCGTAGGCCCCCCCCCCATTCAAACAAAAAGTATTGAAGACCAAATGTGGAGGGCTCCGAAAGATCGAGTGTACCCGACCAGCCCATCAAATGGCCTCCACAAGAGCGCAGGGCCCTACATTAAAATACCGAATGCGCAGGGCCCCCAAACAATCCAGAGTGCTTTGCAGGGCCCCGAACGACCGAGCGTGCCCAAGCAGATTAACAGATGGGCCCCCAACAAGAGCGTGGGGTCCTAGGCAAGTGACAGAGAATGGAAAGCGCCCCAGACCAATGGAGGGGACACATGAGCATATCGCGAGTGTGTCGTTAGGCCATCCGAGACCAACGTGAAGGGCCCCTGAACAGCCGAGAATACCCCAGCATCCCAGCAGGTTAACATATGGGGCCTCGGCTACAGCCCACAGAGCCTGTCTGGCGAATGGAAATAATCTGTGGAAGACTCCTGATTGACAAGAGCGCCCGAAACGCTGGCAGCAAGGGGGCACAGCAACAGTGTAGGGCCCTCCGAGCAAATGCAACGAGATCAAGGGTTACGTGAAACACTCCTTAACGACCGAAATGACCCTGCAAGTGGGCATACAGGTTGTCCGGAAACAGCATAGCGCCCTTAGACGGTTAATGAGGCTTAAAATTCCCAATTGAAAGCTTTTTTAATGATTTATTATGTTTCTCTTTTTGTGTCATCGTGGGCCTTTCACTTACGTTTGCAACTGTTCTTGGTCGAAAGAAAATCCAGAAATGTATAATTTTGTTGCGTCTTGTCAAAAAAAACTGCACCGGCTTGGCCGGCTAAGGGGCCTTTCGAAGCCTATGGGCCCCTTCGGGACCAAAGGGGGCCATGACCCCGTGCTACCCCCCCCCCCCCCCCGGATCCGCCACTGCATGGAGCAACATCCGCCTAGAAGAGGGTCCGCGACGAAGGCTACTGGTGCAACCGTAGCGAAAAATACAAATAAGACGCGCATGCTTACCGCGTTTTCCGAGAGGGACTTACGAAATCCATACACCACAAAGGAACTATATAAAGAGGCCTGCGCTAGGGAAGGGCTTTCAGAATATGACTCGCGTTGAGGGATGGTGAAGTGGACCCGGGGGCTCTGGATATGGAGGATACCTCGCACAGCGAATGTGACGCCCAGTGTGCAGGACGGGCGGAGAAGCCTGGGATGTAGCCCGAGAAAACGCCATCCAATCGTCTAGTAGCTCGGATATGGAATCAAAGGCGATCCATCAACGCGTGAAATAATGTAAAACGACGTGACAAAATACCGTCAATGATACATGATAGCATGCCGAGAACTGCAAGCATCGACAAACTGCGCACCCAGAAACCACACATTCGACCATCGGTACCACGGAAGGCGCGAGGGCCCAGTAAGACAGTAATAACTGCACGCCGACGGAGACTCAGATTTAGCGAACAGCACGCCTGCAGCGACATCTACCAGCGCGAGATTTCCGCAGGCCGCGACATCTGGCGACCGCCGTGCTAACCAAGAGTCCGTCGTGCAAGCGTCACAGGCCTGCGAGCACCATACATGGCCCAGCAGCACACAAGGTCGGCGGGCTGACCTGCCCCGGCCCTCCGTGGACGGCCCCTCGGCGACCGATCTCCCGACAGAGCCACATACCGGGCGGCGGCCGCGTCGGCGCCGCTGGTACGCTGCATGTCCAGCACGAGCCGGCCCAGCACGGCCGTGTACTCGGCCACCTCAGCGTGTATCCGCTGACCCAGCAGGCGGCCTGCGGAGGCACGGGACGGCTGTGAGGGCCGCGGCTGGAAGCGACGCCGCGCAGTCGTCTACGGGTCACGAATGCGTAAGAAATGGTGGACAAATCACCAGTGGCGGCCGGAGGGGCGGGGCAGTGGGCGTCCTCGTGGGACGGTGCGGCCCGGTAAGTGGTTGCCACTTGCTGCTCATGGAGTGGTGATCAGCCAGCAGACATGTGCCTACATCTAACAATGGATTTCAGGGCCCGGGTCTTGCCATGGCACGCACCTAAGGAGCCTGGCATTCAAACCTGTGACCCAGCACACGTCGGACGCAGCGTTCCAGCGTCAGCACAATCACCCGACCCCATCTCGCTGATGGCGGCCACGTCTGCCGTATGCCACGCATAGTGTGCTGTATGGTGAAGCCAGCTGTGATTGGTCGGCGCAGTGCTCCACACTCGCTCACCCATGGACGTGATGGCGATGGCGTCGGGTGAGGAGAGCAAGCCCGTCTGCTCGGCTGTGATCTCCATGGAGGTGACGTCCGTGTCGGTTAGCAGCTCCATACAGCATCCGTCCGCCTGCTGACCACCAGACCATGCCACGACCATCAGTGGCCGGAGGTTTATGGCCATTTCAAAACTGTAGTGTTCACGAGGCCGAAATGTCCTTTTGCAAAGCGTCAATTTGTTTTGATAGGCTCGGTATACAACCCGACCATTCTGACTCCTTTCTTAAACCCTCGATAGTAAGCCGCATGTGTTGCAACTTAATGCCGCTTTCATCATCAGCAATACACACCGGGATGATCAGCCCCGGGCTTTCCCCGGTATTCTTCAAGTACTTCACCTTTTTTAGAAGAAGAAAAATCTCCACCGCGAGCGTTTTATGCGCAGTACGACACGGGCTCAACCAGCTCGCGTTAGCAGGATTGCTCAACTTTGAAATCACACAATCCAAACGACATCTTTAGCACCAAAAATAAAGAGCATGCAATTAACATTATACACTACGTCGTTTCGACCACTGCTACTCACAATGCTCGTATGATTGCCTATCATCTTCAAGAAATAACCATCTGATAATGTAATAATTTCGGCCACAAACAGGTCATATGATTTTTAACACGCGGACAGCCGACGACTTATAGCATGTACTAAAAGGGCAACATAAGCACCAAATTACGTACATTCGTGCAATCAAGAAAAGTATCCCAGTTTTTCACATTCGTGTCTCGAATTGATGTTTCCAAACAGACAGCACAGAGAAAAACCCAACAATGTCGGCGGAACTGAAGCATTTCCAGCAGTCTTAAAAAACGGACCAAGCCACGGGAACCAAACACCGAAGCCAAGCCAACGTTTTCGGTGCGGTACATTGACGTCTATTAGCGCAGTGCATCTCATACACGAGTCCGGATAATGTGATTCACACTTATTAGGACCAAACACATGGTGACGACATTGTCGCTTAAACTACAACACTTGGGTTCAATTAATATGACTACTCCGTTTGCCGTGACATGCTGCCATCATGCCGTGCAGAGGGACTATCGTAGTACCCTCTTAAAGTAGTGCACCTCTTGTACAATTCCAACGAGCAATGCTTGAAATCGCTCTGACATCCAGGGACATACTCTGCCGAGATAATATGCCAACAGCCACTCTAAGGAAACGGATCAAGCCTCGGGAAACGAAGACTGAAGCAAGGCCAGCGTTTTCGGTACGGTACATATACGTCTGTTAGCGTAGTGCACCTCACACACGAGTCCGGATAATGCGATTCACACCTTTAGAACTGAACGCGTCGTGCTGACAATGTCGATGGAACTGCAAGACTTCGGTCCGATGAATAAGACTCATGCATTGCCGTGAGATGCTGCAATCATGTCGTGCAGAGGGACTGTCGTAGCACCCTCTTAAAGTAGTGCACCTCTTGCACAATTCCAACGAGCAAGGCTTGAAATCGCTCTGACATCCAGAGACATACTCTGCCGAGATATTATGCCAACAGCCACCCTAAGGAAACGGATCAAGCCTCGGGAAACGAAGACTGAAGCAAGGCCAGCGTTTTCGGTACGGTACATATACGTCTGTTAGCGTAGTGCACCTCACACACGAGTCCGGATAATGCCATTCACACCCTTAGAACTGAACACGTCGTGCTGACAATGTCGATGGAACTGCAAGACTTCGGTCCGATGAATAAGACTCATGCATTGCCGTGAGCTGCTGCAATCATGTCGTGCAGAGGGACTGTCGTAACACCCTCTTAAAGTAGTGCACCTCTTGTACAATTCCAACGAGCAAGGCTTGAAATCGCTCTGACATCCAGAGACATACTCTGCCGAGATATTATGCCAACAGCCACCCTAAGGAAACGGATCAAGCCCCAGGAAACGAAGACTGAAGCAAGGCCAGCGTTTCGGTACGGTACATATACGTCTATTAGCGTAGTGCACCTTACACACGAGTCCGGATCATGCGATTCACACTTATTAGGACCAAACACATCTTGCTGACGATGTCGGTGGATATGCCAGATCACGGTCCGATGAATAAGACTCATGCATTGCCGTCAGATGTTGCCATCATTGGCGGACGGACTGCAGTAGCACCCTCAAGTAGTACACCTCTGGTATAATTCCAATTGGCGGGACCTAAAAAACGCTCTGACATCCAAAGACATACTCTACCGAGATAATATGCCAATAAAAATCCTAAGGATACGGACCAAGCCTTGGAACCGAAGACTGAAGCTAGGCCAGCGTTTTCGGTACGGCACATATGCGTCTATTAGCGCAGTGCACCTCATGCACGAGTCCGGATCAGGCGATTCACACTTATGGAAAATAAACACATCGTGCTGACAATGACGGTGGAACTGCGAGACTTCGGTCCGATGAATAAGACTGATGCATTGCCGTGAGATGCTGCCATCATGTGCGGACAGGCTGTAGTAGCACCCTCTTAAAGTAGTACACCTCTTGTATAATTCCGATTGGCGAGACCTAAAAACCACTCTGAAAGGCAAAGACACACCCCGCCGAGATAACATCCCGACACGAACCCTGAGGAACAAAGCCAAGCCCCGGGAACCGAGGACCGAAACAAAGGCAACGGTTTAGGTACGGTATATATACGTTTAGTCGTGCGGTGCACCTGAAACAAGAGCCCTTACAACGCGATTCACACTAAGTAGAAATAAACACATTGTGCCGACAATGTCGGTTGAGCTGCAATGGTTTGATTCAATGAATAAGACTCATGCACTGTCGTGGGATGTCACCATCATGTGCGGACAGACTGTAGTAGCACCTTCCTAAAGTAGTGCGCCTCTTGCATAATTCGTTGGCGAGACCTAAAAACGGCTTTGCCATCCAAAGACACACTGTACCGAAATAACGTGTCAACAGCAATTCTAAGGGAACGGACCAAGCCCCGGAAACCGAAGACCGGAGCGAGGCCAACGTTTTCGGTACGGTACATATATATTTATAAGCGCAGCGTACCTTATACCATCGTCAGCAAGATGTGTTTAGTCCTAATAAGTGTCAATCGCATGATCCGGACTCGTGTGTGAGGTGCACTACGCTAACAGACGTATATGTACCGTACCGAAAACGCTGGCCTTGCTTCAGTCTTCGTTTCCCGAGGCTTGATCCGTTTCCTTAGAGTGGCTGTTGGCATATTATCTCGGCAGAGTATGTCCCTGGATGTCAGAGCGATTTCAAGCATTGCTCGTTGGAATTGTACAAGAGGTGCACTACTTTAAGAGGGTACTACGATAGTCCCTCTGCACGGCATGATGGCAGCATGTCACGGCAAACGGAGTAGTCATATTAATTGAATCCAAGTGTTGTAGTTTAAGCGACAATGTTGTCACGATGTGTTTGGTCCTAATAAGTGTGAATCACATTATCCGGACTCGTGTATGAGATGCACTGCGCTAATAGACGTCAATGTACCGCACCGAAAACGTTGGCTTGGCTTCGGTGTTTGGTTCCCGTGGCTTGGTCCGTTTTTTAAGACTGCTGGAAATGCTTCAGTTCCGCCGACATTGTTGGGTTTTTCTCTGTGCTGTCTGTTGGGAAACATCAATTCGAGACATGAATGTGAAAAACTGGGATACTTTTCTTAATTGCTCAAATGTACGTAATTTGGTGCTTATGTTGCCCTTCAGTACATGCCATAAGTCGTCGGCTGTCCGCGTGTTAAAAATAATATGACCTGTTTGTGGCCGAAATTATTATTATCAGATGGTTATTTCTTGAAGATGGTAGGCAATCATACGAGCATTGTGAGTAGCAGTGGTCGAAACGACGTAGTGAATGATGTTAACTGGCTGCTCATTACTTTTGGTGCTAAAGATGTCGTTGGATTGTATGATTTCAAAGTCGGGCAATCCTGCTAACGCGAGCTGGTTGAGCCCGTGCCGCACTGCGCGTAAACCTTTCCCCTGCTAATTTCTTCCGTCTAGACCATGTCGTCTGCCATTGTTTCTGTCTAAGGGCTCGGCATCGGCGTATTACTGGGTAAGGTGGGGTACACAGGCTCGCCTCACGTTTTCAAGAAGCATTGCATGACCCTTAAGGTCACCATTGAAGGAAATGCGAAAATCACAAAGGTTTCTCCTTTCTCATTCATGGGACACTCGCACGCCGCCTGGCTCGGTTGCAAGCACAATATTTGCTGGCGACACGACCAGACAATACGCTAAATTACCTTCGTGTCTTCACTCATTTCACCTGGAAGAAACCACACGGCGATGAACAATCGATAAAAACGAACAAAGCATCTGACAACCTGTGTCATTTAACTTGAACTGTCCACAATTCCAGTTCAAATGGCCTCGCACAAATCCAAGGACGGACCAAAAGAATGCGAATCTGAGGTCACGTTATCGGCAGGCAATAAAATGCTGCTCTGCAATAAAAAACATGACACAGGAACGTTCAAACGTATTTGAAAATTTTGTTGCAGATTCATGGATTTAGATCAGTTGAGTAGGAGTATGGAATTTTTACGTTCACAAGGTCATCGACGTATTTTAAAAAAAACACGATAAATATCAATAGGCGTGCAACGTAATGTTTCTTTTACTTTGCATGCAAATATGCGTTTATCTTATACATTAACTAAACAAAAAGATGAAATGAGGGGCGGCAGATTTGCAGCCCAAAATCAGCGTATGACTTCCTTCCTGTAATCATATGACCAGCATCTTATGCACTGTGTTGGTGGACAATAGCGCCGCGCAAACCCTTGGTTGTGTTTTAGCACCTTTACGACTACGTCCTTGCAGCGCCATTACAGCCTCTATCAATGAAAATATTTTGTACTTGCTATTTTCAAGCGAATATGCGGTAGACGGGGCTCGGAAGAGCAGTTGTATAGTTGTAGGGTTGTCGTTGTCGATCGACATATTTTCCCGAAAATTGACCAAAATTTCATTTGATTAACGCTCGCCTTCTTGTCTTGTGCAGTAATCGTTATGGGAGGAAGGCTCTTGTGATACTCATTTATCCTAGACAAGCTTTTCCCCAGTTTACCACCCGATTTATTTTTATTGTTCATCGTCTCAGCGCATCGATGTTGCTGGCCCTGCATAAAATGAAGTATCAGGTTATTTGTAGGATGCAGGTGAGGCATACCATGGCTTTGTTTGATGATAACATACCATTGGTGGATGCAAGACTAGGATACTTTCTTTTGTGACTTTTGTCATACCAGTCACCAAAAAAACATCCACTATGCCAGGTGATTGTGAGATGGTGTCATTTCAAACCACACACAATTTCTGTGCACTTTAAATCTGAGTGCCAGGAGTGTGGTGAACAGTCGTCACCAATTAAATCACCAATGTGTGAAATGATGTGAAGGTTGTTTTGGGAAAACATGCTCTCACTGTCTTTTTTCAATAAAGAGAAACTTGCAATTGTGTGGAATATGATGTGGCCTATTCCCGCTATGTGCAGTGACAAGGTTTGTCTTGCCAGTGTTCTGTGGGCATCCAGCACGTTGGGTGTGTTCTTTGCAGACTGGAGCAGAATGTCATCAAATGTCTTAAGTATTATGAGCAATAGATACACAAATGAATAGGAGCTTAGGATGAGCATAAGTTTGCTATTTAACTCTATGCAATGAAGGGAATTTCAGCACAAATGCATTTTGGTCAATGTACATTGCATATTGTTTGGACTTATCAAGCTATTGAATAATACTCATTGGTTGATCTGTGTGCACAAACATAGCACATGAGGTCAGTCAGGAAAATCTTAAGTAATGAAAAAGAAAAGTGGAACTGAAAACCTTAAAATTGTTCTGATAAGATATTAGGTCATATTTATATGCAACTAACATAATAACATAAGATTAATAAAGCTTACTGACCAGCACATGAAAGAAGCACTACAAAAACTGACTTTTCTCTACAGTATTTCATGCTGCAGGAAATTGCAGGCTATTCCATTTAATTCCTGTTTTACTATTGTCACATTTTTTTCTGAATGGCTTCATTATATGTTAGCAGCACATTTATGCCTGTCTGCAATAAGGACACATGCATGCCATGTAATATATACCCATGCTGTTATGAAAATGACATTATGAACATCAGCATTTTAATTTCTGGTCAGTTTTTGGGCTCTAGAGCAATTTGTAGGTGGCCATGGTTTATTGTACCACATACAATCAAGACATATTTTACTTGTATGCATACAGATATTGATTATGGAATACTAAACTGGCATCAGCCATGTGAATTGAGAGAAAAAATAGACCAACTGAGCACCTCAGTAAACTTTTACATTCTTATTGCTATTCTATGGGCAAAGGGTCACAAATTTGGCTATAATGGGTCATTGTGGGGCTGGTATTTGGTTACAGTATTTGGCTCAGTACCAGAAGAATGTTGCTTATTCAGACCTTATGGACTGCTTGGTCATTCTCTGTTATCTCTGGCTCTGTGGGATACCTGAGAGTGATTCCAAACAGGAAGTGAAAAGCAGGTACTGCAGATGTGCTAAGAAGGTGTGCATTTTTGTTTTTGAGTCATATTAATGAAAAGCATACATTTGTTCATTATCAAGGGTATTATCAGCAAACTTTTCACCATCTTGAGACATCACCAAACATAACTGCAGCAGGCTGACATCAGCTCATACAGCAGCTGGATGATGGGCCACTGCCAGTAGGACAATGGCTGGTCAGCAGGAAGGTCTGCCTTAGCTCATGATCACCAGCTGTCCAACTGACAATATTGACCCAACCTGTACTTTGTTCACAGCATGTTAATGGCCTCTCACAACCTTGTCGCTGGTCTCCCACTGATCAGCTGCTATCGTGTTTGCTTGTGGAATTTTGTTGTTGGCCATGTTGTGTATTCCATTGGATCAGGTGACAGGGTGTGATTCTGCAGTCAGGTGGGTTGGCAGCGTGGTTTTGATTCTGCCTGCAGTCGGGCGGGTTGGCAGCATGGTTTTGATTCTGCTTGCAGTCAGGCAGGCTGGCAGAGTGGTTTTAGCTCTGCCTGTGGCCAGACAGGCAGGCAGTGTGGTTTTGGATCCACCTCTGTAAAAGCTGATTTATGTTGTGACTATCCAGTTGATCCTTGCCCATTAAAGCTTCTGTGGTGACTCATTCTAGCCATGCATGGAAAATGCCATGTAACTACATGGTCACTGGACAAAATATCCAATATCAAACACTCAGATACAAAAGATAGAACAGAAATGGGCAGTATACATACAAGCATATCTTGAATGGTAGAAATGCCAAATAACCTGCATCTTATTCACACAACTCACATCTCCTGACAGCAGCAATCCCTAAAAAAGGCCTTTTTGCTTGGGACAGCCTATCACAGCACCTAATTTGAATGCATTTTATTTTGAAGGCAGTCAGCATCCTTGTCTCAGAATATCATCCACACATACTGATGTAGAGACTGTTTTTGATGGTGAAACATGCTTCCAAACCTGGACCTGTCCAGCTTGACTTGCCAGCAACAGAAGCTGACATGACAGTGGCTGTGTTATTGTCAGTGTGCTGTTGAAAGAGGATTAGCTGTTGGGCAAGTTGTGGAATGAATGTGTTGTGGTACAAACTTTTGTCCATCACATATTTTATTACAAATACCTCACATGCATTAATTGCTTAAAGTCAATGCCAGGTTCTCAATGTGGTGACACAACAATAACTGTGGTTTGAAATATGTATTCATGTTGACATTGGGGACTCTTGTAGTGCAAAGTGTTGCAAAGTGTAGTGCAATGGTACAATCATAATTATAGTGCAAGGACATGGTCAGGAGCGCCTATTCATGCAGGGCTTTACAGCCCATCACTTGAGCCCCACTGCCCATTGCAGCAACTGGTCACATTTGTTTCAGGAGCAGATTGGTGATTAGTGGCCTTGGCTAGGCACACAGCTCGCCAGTGAAGATGGGAAACCAGCTGGCTGGCATTGCACCATCACAGATCTTTCCAGTAGAGTACTACCTGAATGATGTCCCATATGTTGAGTTTGTGGCAAGGTCAGTCAATATGCTGTTGTGCCCACATTTGTGGATTTGTGTTTCTGTTGCTTGTATTTTTCTAGCATGGTCTTCTAGTTGTTTTTCTAGTACTTACATTCCTAATAATATTCATATTGCTTCTTGACTGCCATCTCACTGTCTGACTATCTCACTTTGTCTTCCTTTGCATATGCCTCCCTTTCTCTCTTTTGATCACATTTCCATTTCATCTACAGCCTTGACACCAGAGCTGTTGGTCTGTGTTGGGGTTTCTGTCACACTTTCTCCCTACTACTGGGACAGAAGATTCTTATCAGGCACATCAGTACTCACCCATTTAGCAGCACTTTGTATTCTGCCGTCAATGTTGGAAAGGCTCATGTTCTCAGCTTATGCATGTCAGGTGTTAAGATCTCAATTATTTTCCTTCAGTCTCCCAGCCATGCATATGCCATTGGTAGTGTCTAAGGTGCGACGCACACTCAATTTATGCTGCCAGCTGAGTTCATGCGCAGCACCCGCTCCGCGCCACCACACCCTGACGCCGCCGGCCCGTCTGGCGGCACCCTGACGTGTCCACCGCTCCGCCCGGCAGCCTGGGCAGCACGCGCTTCATGAAGGTGGCGCGCGCCTCGTCGGCCGAGGGCCAGCTGGTGGTGAAGGTGTTCGTGCTGCACGACCCCAGCCTGCCGCTGGAGCAGCACGAGCGCCGATTGAAGCAGCTGGCCGCCCTTCTGCGCAACGTGCCCAACTGCCTGCCGTTCCGCCGCGTCGTCATCACCGACCGTTCGGCGCTGCTCCTCAGACAGTACATACGGTCAGTGGGGCGGCCGTGAGCTCCATGGCACTGGAGGTCTTGCACCAGTGCCCAGCTACGGCAGAGTCCCGGTGCTGTGCGCGGGTCTGCAGGTGCGCTGGTCTATCGTGCGGGAGGGTCGTGGCATCGACGGAAGTATAAAAGTGTGCAGGACCACAATGTTTACCCATGGATCATCTTATTTTTCAACGAAAGGTCCTATGTAGCACTAAGAGGTTCTTACAACACCAGTGAACAGCAATTTTTTAGGGTTAATGACAACTTTCCCCTATGATCTGTGTTGCGTGTTGCTTCTTGCTGTAATACTACTGCAAGTGCTGACACATTCCTCTCCCGGCAGGTACAGCCTGTATGACCGAATCTCGACGCGACCGTTCCTGTCGGAGCACGAGAAGCGGTGGCTGAGTTTCCAGCTGCTGAGCGCGCTGGCCGCCTGCCACCGGCTCGGCGTCTGCCACGGCGACCTCAAGCTGGAGAACCTGCTTGTCACCTCGTACCTCTGGCTGCTGGTGGGCGACTGGGCCGCCTTCAAGCCGGCGCTGCTGCCCGAGGACAACCCGGCCGACTTCGGCTACTTCTTCGACACGTCGCGGCGCCGGCTGTGCTACGTGGCGCCGGAGCGTTTCGCCAGCGGTGGCCTGCTGCCGCTGGCCGACCCCACGCCCGGCCGGCTCACGCCGCCGATGGACGTGTTCTCGGCCGGCTGCTGCCTCACCGAGCTCTGCACCGAGGGCGCCGTGCCGTTCGACCTGACGCAGCTGCTGCTGTACCGCGCCGGCGAGTACGACCCGTCCCAGGCCACCGGCCGCATCGCCGACCCGGCCTTCCGCGAGATGGTGGAGGCGATGCTGCGACTGGAGCCGGCGGCGCGGCCGGCGCCGGCCGACCTGCTCGCGCGCTACACGCCGGCCGTGTTCCCGGCCACGTTCCAGGCGGTGCTGCATCCGTACTTCGCGCAGTTCGCCGGCTCCGCGCTGCCTTCGCCCGACGAGAAGATCGACAAGATGGCGTCCGACGTGGACCGGCTGGTGAGCCAGCTGTCGGCCGGCAACCCGGTCTCGTTGCAGGAGGACATCACGCTGGTGATCGGGCTGGCCACCTCGTGCGTGCGCCGGCTCTGCCACCTGGCCACCAAGGTACGCGCGCTGAAGCTGCTGCTCCGCCTGGCCGGCCACGTGAGCAGCGACGTTATTCTGGACCGCGTGCTGCCATACGTGCTGTCGATGACGCGCGACGCGTTCGCGCGCGTGCGCTGCGTGGCGCTGCAGACGCTGGCGGCGATGCTGGCGCTGGTCACGTCGCTGCCCGAGAGCGACGCGCACATCTTCCCCGAGTACGTGCTGCCGAACGTGGGCGCGCTGGCGCAGGACCGCGCCGTCAGCGTGCGTGTCTGCTACGCCACGCAGCTGGCGCCGCTGGCCGAGTCGGCGCTGCGGCTGCTCGAGGCGTCGCACGTGCGCGCCAGCCGGCCCGGCCTGGCCGCCGAGCTCGGCACGCTGCACGACCTGGTGCACCAGAAGGTGCAGCTGCTGCTGACCGACGCCGACAGCTCGGTCAAGCGGACGCTGCTGGTGCGCGGCTTCTCGCGGTTGTGCGCCTTCTTCGGCAAGCACAAGGCCAACGATCTGCTGCTCTCGCACATGATCACCTTCCTCAACGACAAGGGCGACCGCAGCCTGCGTGCCGCCTTCTTCGACGCGGTGGAGGGGGTCGTGTCGTTCATCGGCCGCCACTGTGTGCCGCTGCTGACGCCGCTGCTGCTGCAGGGTCTCAACGACACGGAGGAATTCGTCACCGTCAAGGCCGTGGACGCCATGTGCGGGCTGGCGGCGCGCGGCCTGCTCGGCAAGGCGGCGTTGTACGAGCTGCTGGACGAAGTGGTGCCGATGGTGGTGCACCCGAGCTTGTGGGCGCGCCAGGCGGCCGTTGGTTTCATCTGCGCGTGCGCCGCGCAGATGCGCGTCATCGACGTGCAGTGTCGGCTGGTGCCGCGGCTGGCGCCGTTCCTGGCGCACCCGGTGGCTTCGCTGGACAGTTGCGCGGCGCTCCTCGCCGCACTCGGCCCACCGCTGCCGCGCGACGTATACGACCACGTGGCGCGTGCCGCCGATCTGGAGCCGCTGCTGGCGGCGCTGGCCGAGCGGCAGCGGCTGCGGCGCGCCGCAGATCCGGCCTGGCAGCTGCACCTGCCCGACGGTGGCGGGCCCGTGCGCAACCTGTTCCGCCGCCTGGTGGCCGACGGCATGACGGCCGCCGTCGAAGACCACCTGCTCGTGCTGGCCGGACACCTGGCCAAGGTGCACAAACACAAGCGACTGGCGGCAGAGATGCGGCGGGCGCCCGTCGAGTCGGGCGTCGCCACCGTGCCGGTGGAGGCGTGCCGCGGCCGCGTGCTTCACGTGCGCGCCGGCGAGGCGGAGGCGGAGGCGGCAGCGCCGGCGCGCCAGCCGTCACTCGACTCGCCACGGCCCGAGCCCAGCGAGCGCGACGAGGCGACCGAGGCGACCGAGCCGGCCGGCCGCGAGGCGGGCTCGCGCACGCTCGAGTCACCCTGCCAGGCGGCCCTGCAGCGGCTGCTGGAGCGGCAGCGGAGCGAGCGACGCGCCGCACGCCTGGGTCGTGAGTGGGGTGGCCCGGCCGGCGCGCCGCCACCCACGTGGCGGCCGGCCGGCCAGCTGGTGGCGCATCTGCACGAGCACCAGGGTGCCGTGGTGCGGCTCGCGGCCGTCACCGACACGCCGCTGGTGGCGAGCGCCGCCACCGACGGCCAGGTGCGCGTGTGGGACGTGGCGCGTATGGAGGGCAAAAACATCGCCAACCGCTCGCGCCAGACGTACACGCGGCCGGGCGGCGGCGGCGCACTCACGGCGCTTACCTACTGCGAGGCCGAGCGGGCGCTGGCGGCCGCCGGCGACGGTGACGCCGTCTGGACGATCAGTGTCGAGACGAGCACACCCCGCTCGCACCCCCTGCACTACCGCAAGCTGGACGTGGTCGAGGAGGGTAGCGTGGTGGAGCTGACGCACTTCAGCTCGGCGGGCAGCTCTGTGCTCGTCTACGCCACCATGTACGGCCAGCTGGTGGGCTGGGACCTGCGCGCGCCCGGCACCGCCTGGCGCCTGCAGAACGGCGCGCGCCGCGGTCTGGTGACGGCGCTCTGCGCGGACCCCGCCCACTGCTGGCTGGTGGTGGGCACCTCCAGCGGCGTGCACGTGTGCTGGGACCTGCGTTTCCAGCTGGCGGTGTCGACGCTGGCGCACCCGGCCGGCCCCCGGGTGCGCCGGCTCTGCGTGCACCCCAGCCAGCCCAGCTGGTTCGTCAGCGCCGTGTCCGGCAACTCGGAGGTCAACATGTGGAACATTGAGACGGGCGAGCGCCAGGTGAGCACCGACACCCCGCTCCGCGGGTCTTGAAGAGGATGCTGCTGCCTTTCACACCTCCATCTCTTACCGCGAGCATTTGCCACGTTTTGGCTGCTACAGCTACGCTCGACACATCCATTGTTAATGCTACCAAATAACCTATACATGCTTTACATCGTCCATGGTTTAGGGCTCGGTTATACATCTGGCGAAGACTGACGATAGGCGTATTCATTTAGCGAAAAAGGTCGCTCGCCCACATGTGTTTAATAGGGGGCGTGAAAAAGGGCGATTTTACGTTGTCTCCGGGACACAATTCCCGTTTCGCTGGTGACACCGTTCCTGCTCGTTTAAAATGGACGCAATCGTGAAAGAATCGCAAGAAAGTATCGGTACTTTGCCTTTGTTGTTGTTTTTTCTGCTTTGTTTTCCCCTGTCTCGTTGGTGACACCGTTCATGTTTATATAAAATGGATGCAGTCGTAATAGAATCGTCAGAAAAACACCGGGGCTTTGCTGGCCTTTGCTGGTTTGTTGTTTGTATGCACCGAAACAATGGCTGGGTTCACGAATCGTGCGCAGCGGTGGACCTTATTTTTGCCGTGCCTCGTATTGTGAGGGCTGACCTGTCGGCACCGATCACGCAACTGAAGGATGTTGAAAATGCGGCCTGTAATGAGTTGTTGTTATTCACAAGCGTCAACGTGATGTAAACGACTATGACGCAACATTTAGAAGTACGCAAAGGTGTCAGCATCGATCTTTTAGGGTCTTACATGCTGAGCAGTTCTTTGTTGCCTGAAAGCAAAGTTTCTTTGAAGTATGCGGTACCGACAAACGCCAAAATTTATACAAACCTTGCTAACTCATGACGTTGCATGTAACATCTGTACGCGCTTAGTATGAAGTTACAAGCGCGCGCAGTCCACAGACGGGGCACGGCTCTGGCGTCGTTCAGAGTCGGCCTGGTGCCGGCTGGGTTTGAGCCCGCTCGGTCGTCTAACGCCGCCCCCGCCGCCAGATGACGCTGTGGCCGAGCCAGCACCCGGCGCTGAGCACGGCGCTGCGGGACCACCACTCGGTGACGGCTCTGTGCCCGGTGGGGCCGGCGCTGCTGACAGCCGGCACCGACATGTGCACGCGGCTCTGGGAGCTGGCCGAGCCGCGCGCCTCGCAGCTGATCACGTGGCCGGCCCGCCAGCCGGTGCCCGTCACCGGCACGTACCGCTCCCAGGTGAGGCGGCCGCGCAGCGCGGTGGCGGGATGTGTGACCACCTCGCCGCTGTGTGCTTGGACGCCGTGGACTGCTTCTCTGTCAGGCAGCTGGCTGAGGGCTCGGGTGTTGCCATCCGAGATGGGGGCCGGTGTCGGGGATGGTTCCACGGCGCGTGAGGCAAGTCCGGACCCCCCGATCGTAGGACCAACGCTGTGCGTGAAAGCCGTGGGTTCTAAAGCATCTGGGACGAAATCGAGACCAGTGAGAGTTTCACGCGACTGGGATCGAACTGTAGCCGCCCGACCTGGAGCCCAGTGCTGTGCCCGCCCGGCCGCTGACGCCTGACGCCTGACGCCTGACGCCGTCGGCAGGTGGTGGACGGCATCGAGGTAGTGCAGGAGGTGTGCCAGAAGGCGCGCCGTCCGCTGGACGACTGTCCGCGCGGCCCCGAGCCCACGCCGCCCGGCCACCTGGACACCATCAGCGACATCGTCCTGGCGCGCGCCTCCCAGTGGTACGCCGTCACCGCCTCCCGCGACGGCTGTCGTCAAGGTCTGGAAGTGAGCCTCCCGCCGATGGGGGTGGGCAGCCGCCCGGGGCGAGGCGGCGGCGTGGGCCTTCGCTGGGACGTGGCGGCTGCCGGGTAATCTGGCCAGGCCCAGTCGCGGCACCTGGCGCACGCGTTCAGCGGTATTTTAGTGCTGTCGCAGACAGTGACGCCGACCAGGTGATTGGTTCAGCGCAGCGGTGTTGTGGCTGGTTCCAGTATCCGGCCTTGGCTCTGCTGCCGACGCCCACTGGAGGACCCAGGACAGGACTCCGCGTACGAACCGAGGCTTACCTGTGCATAATGGCTGGCGGTGCGGTCGTGGGCGGCTGTGCGCGAGCTAGCTGTGCTTCAGTAGCGTCGTGACGGGCTGCCGCAGCTGTGGGGCCGACGCAATTCCATGTCGGCGGTGCTCGCGAGCTTTCAGGAGGTGCACGAAAACCGGTACCAATGTGTGTGTTACGCTTGTGTGTCATGACGGTATGCCCCTGCTCCTGTTTGTGTGTATTTATAACAATACACAATATGTACGCCACAACATATTGTACAATGCAATATAATGTACAATATGTGCCCACGATCGTGGGCACTTTGATGTGCAGTTCTGGCAACTGTAGGCTTTGCGTCTTTGCGTCCCACGACTAGCTGCGTCTTGCATTGTGACTCGCGGAAAACCGATCCAGCACCTGCTTCAGAAGTACGTGTATTTCGGCGGTAGCGAGTGGCAAGAAAAACAGTACATTCATTGACGACTCTTTGCGGCCAATCATCCACATATTTGCGTCACCTTCTGGTTATCCACTGTCATGACCTCGAAACAGTAAGCAGAAAAAGACCACGTACTCTGTTTAAAAGACAAGGCCTCGTCAAGGGAAGCTGATAGACATCGCATCCCGCCGTAGTCGCCGCCCGCTGCCGTCCTGATGAACACCGTGGTACACACGCGTCAGGTGTCAGGGACCCGGCGGTGCCGGAGTGGGCCGGCCCTCAGGGTCCGGTGGTGCTCTCGTGGTCGCGCCGCCGCCGACCGACCACTAGCAGGTGGACGACTGCTCGTAGTTCACCCGGAAGCCTTTCTCCTTGGCCGCAGTGAACGTGGAGTCCGTCTTGAAGCGCAGCACCAGGGGACTCTGCGCCTTTGTCACCTGGTCAAGACGGTCGCACGCCGCGTGTCACATGATACGGATAAACGCACTACTAAGGCATGCTCACTGCACTCGGCGACTTCATGTAAACAGAACGGTGGCACGGCATTTTGTTATGCAAGTAAGCGTAGACTTACTCCGGAGACATATTCGTTGTCCGAGTTACTGTACTTAGCGAGATCGCGTTATTGGTGGTGAGGCATAGCTTTCCGAGGAAACGGAGGAGACGATAGTGTTTTGTCAGCAACGAAAGGCAAGCGATCTTCAAAAAGATGATTATCAACGGCTGTAGGACAAGCACGCCCTGGCATCATGACTAAGCGACCGACTTTAGAGGGATGGTGCCGTTTGTCTTTGTCAAGAAATGACCGTTAGCATAATTTTGCGAAAGAAAAGGTGCGACGTGATCGGGTCGTGCTGCCTGCGGCATCACGTTCAGCCAGCCGCATAGCAGGAGCGGCGGTTGGCGACCAGACCGTTAGCTGATGGCGTTATCCTGGGTTGCGACGCCGGTATACACCGGTCACTATGGAGTGTGTAGTCTGGCAGTCAACCTACATTTAAAACCCAAAACGGGGTTGCTTTAATACGGTTGTGGACGCAAAAAAAATCATGTACAAGCTGACGCCACCGTTCTAGCCCCAGGAGAACCCGAAACCTCTTCCGAAACAAGGCCCGTGTCTCCGGTGGCGTGGTCCGGGCGCATGGCGTGGCATGGCGTGTGGCTTGGACAGGGTCGGGTTATGCCCTCAGGGTCAGGACGCGTAGCTTGGACAGGGTCATGTCCAGGCCCTCAGGGTCAGGGCGTCTAGCCTTGGTTAGAGTCAGGTCAGCCCTCAGGGTCAGGGCGTGTAGCTTGGACAGGGCCCAGAGCGTGTGACTTGGACGGGATCAGGTCGGGGTCCCCAGGTCAGGGCGTGTAGCTTGGACAGGGTACTGAGGTCAGCCCCTCAGGTCAGGGCGTGTAGCTTGGACAGGGCCAGAGCGTGTGACTGTGGACGGGATCAGGTCGGGTCCCCAGGGTCAGGGCGTGTAGCTTGGACAGGGTCATGTCAGGCCCTCAGGGTCAGGGCGTGTAGCTTGGACAGGGTCATGTCAGGCCCTCAGGGTCAGGGCGTCTAGCTTGGTTAGAGTCAGGTCAGCCCCTCAGGGTCAGGGCGTGTAGCTTGGACAGGGCCAGAGCGTGTGACTTGGACGGGATCAGGTCGGGTCCCCAGGGTCAGGGCATCAGAGCGTGTGACTTGGGTAGGGGTGGCCAGAGCGTGTGGCTTGTGTAGGGGTGACCCTCGGCTCTGCCCTCGGTGTCCAGATCCGCGTGCAGCTGGACCCGCCCGGAGGGCCGCCGCCGGCGTCCTTACCACGGGCTGCGGCACGGCCGAGCCGGTGCTGTAGTGCAGCACGGAGCCGCAGTACTTCTCGTTGGTCGGCGAGTCGCCTGTCTTCGAGCCGCCCGGGATGAAGAGATAATCCGACCTGGCGACGGCGCAATAGCACGGACCACTTCAGCGACGCATCAGCGGACCCTGGATACCTTCTAGAACAGGCGTGTCATCTTTCATTCCTTTCAGTCTGCAGTTGTCAGTGAGATCGGTGGAGTCTGCATTGGGTACCGGATGTGCTAAATGGAGGCAACCGGTGCAGGACGTCTGCACGCCAGTGCTTTAAGCCTCCGGTGTCAGGGATCCGTACGTCCTGGGTTCCCGTAGCCCTTAGTGTGGCCGTTCTCCACGTCAGTCCCTGGAGCCGACAGCACCGGAGGTCCGCGCGGCAATAATCGAGGCCGCCAGGATCGCACGCGTGCACGTCAACACCTGGTGTCACCAGTGCTGGGGATTTCACGTCAGCGCCCCAAGTCTGCATGTTTGCACCTGAGGTCTGCACGTCAGTACTTGAGGCCGCCAGTACCTGAGGTCTGCACGTCAGTACCTGAGGCCGCCAGTACCTGAGGTCTGCACGTCAGTACCTGAGGCCGCCAGTACCTGAGGTCTGCACGTCAGTACCTGAGGCCGCCAGTACCTGAGGTCTGCACGTCAGTACCTGAGGCCGCCAGTACCTGAGGTCCGCACGTCAGTACCTGAGGCCGCCAGTACCTGAGGTCTGCACGTCAGTGCCTGAGGCCGCCAGTACCTGAGGTCTGCACGTCAGTACCTGAGGCCGCCAGTACCTGAGGTCTGCACGTCAGTGCCTGAGGCCGCCAGTACCAGAGGTTTGCACGTCAGTATTTGAGGCCGCCAGTAGGTGGGGTCTGCACGTCAGTACCTGAGGCCGCCAGTACCTGAGGTCTGCACGTCAGTACCTGAGGCCGCCAGAGCCGGAGGTCTGCACATCACAGGCAGCCAGCCCCACGCCGGAGGTATCTGCAGAGGTCACCATGTCCAGCTTGAACTCACTGGAGGAGAACGACGTCTGAAATAGGAGTGTAGTTTTAAAAAATAATATAGGGAGGGAGACTGAGCAGGGAAAGTGGTCAAACCTGCCCTAAAGCATACAATCTTATTTTCATCCAGAATTTCTCCGGATTTGGGCCACTTTTTCTCACAGCTTCTTTCATCGCTGAGCCAAAGTCAATGGGGCGGGCGCAGGGCTTAAGGCCTCAGCCCAGTTGAAAAGGAAGCTAGCACGCCTGGTCTGAAGCAAAGAGACAAGGGACAGTCCTTAGCTCCCGCACTCTACCTCGTCGATGGCGTGGCTTCCAACGATCACCGCCAGCAAAACCAAAGCATGCTGAGCAAACAGCGCGGTGCTCGCATGTCGGCGATCATCAACCACATGACACAACTAACAGCCTAAGCACGTCTCGCTGCTCCAGCTGGGACCGCAGACACCTCTGGGTCTGGCACGTCTCGAGGGTCTCGACTGCGGGACGAATTGTTCAGAAAACGCGTTGCTGGCAACGGCAGAACGGCCTACGAGGCAGATTTATGCGGCGTTCTACTTTGACAGAATCGATTTACTCCGATTACTCCGATAGCTCCGATCTTTGAAGCGTGGGTTTGGTTCCGGATCTTGCGTTGAACAACAAACATAACGCTGGGCCGACTTTTAGTTGATCCCAGAGGAAGGTATTACTCAAGCTCGAAATCAATTTCGATGAAGCGCACTTCGGCGGTAAAGGTTTCCGAGACAACTCTCGCCATGCGATGTGTAAAACGCATCATTACAACCCCGATCGACTTAGCGGAGGTATGAGTCGCCGTTTGCCAGCAGCGCGTTTGCTGGGCGACCCGTCCCGCAGTCATCAACGTCGCGGTTTCGTAGCAGTTGTACACAGGGGCGGAAGGGAACTAAACAACGTCATGACATCGGACAAGGACATCCACAGTCCACCATGCCGCTCACCTTGCATGTGCCAAACGAGGAGCCGATGCAGATGTTGTAGTCCTGGTTCAATGTATATGCACCGCCTTCAAAGTTGAAGCTCTCAAACGTTCCCTTTGTTCCGTTGTAGAACTGGGTGCAGCCTGTTGGGGCTACAAGGACGGCGCGTTAGCTGTAAAATCAGGTCGTGTGCCTAATCCGCACATACACGAGTAAAAGCGCGAAGCGTGCACTCAATCGCAGGCAGTGTGGACCATGCGAGAATGTCCGCTCTTGCAATGCAAGTGGTGCGTGCGATACCACGTCCACTTTCGAACAGTGGCATGAGGCTCGTCGTCAGTGGCAGGTGTGTGTAAAATTGGGTGCTACACCTGGAGCCCAGGCTTCGCACTGACTGCGTTACAGGTAGCGGAGAGTCCCTGGACGTGCTGCACTGAGGTCGGTCTCACCGCGGAGCTCGCTGCGCTGGCTGCAGTCGATCTGGGTCGCTTTGATACGCCACTTGGCGCCGGTCGTCTCGCTCTCCAGACGGACCATCATGGACAGCTGAACTT